GTGTACTTTGTTTACTGTTTGTATAGTTGTTAAACTGATAGTTATATAGTTACTGTGAGGTCTTTTACTCTTTTACCATGTTTTGTTTTGTTGTTTACTTATGGAATTAGGATCTACGGGAAAGAGTTTTACTTTAATATTATATAAAATAATTTTACTAAATCACACTAACAATATTCAATATCATATCAATTTTAATAATAAAATTATTAATCTACAGTATAATATCAAGATTAGATATAATATAAAAATCAAAACAAACTTTGTTGATTTTTTAAAAAATCTTTAATAACAAAAAAAATTCTTTATAAAATTTGGTATAAACTATGCTTTTGCCTCATTCTAAACTCTAATATTAATAATTAAATTTTGTTTATTTGTTTTGATAATAATCTTAATATTACATAGCATGTGGTATTGAACACCACTAGTGTGTGATTTAGTGTTATTGTATAAAAAAATATAACAAAATTTAAATTTATGCATGTCAGGTTTGTGGCGCAGCAAAAAACTTCAAGGTTCTGTAATGTTAGGGTTAGCGTTTATAATAAGGTTAAAGGTTAGGTGATTATATAAAATCGCTTAAGAAAACTTTTGTTAGGGCACTAATGCTGGTTTCTAATATAGATTGTTGAGAAATAAGCATTTTTGGCTAAACGAACGGTTTTTTTCTGATTGTGTTACGTTACACCTAATCTTGAAATCTGATTCGTAGTTTAGGCAATATGCGCCACACATTTCCGATATGCTAAATTTTTATTAATAACAATTTAAAATTGTGTTAAGTTTTTCTGTATTTTTATTTTACACAATAGCTAAAAAATTGGCGCCTATATAGAAAAATATTTTGGCTTTAAGTGGTATCTACTATAGAATAACAAAATAAATATATCGTATTGTGAATTTATAAATAAATGTATTACTGTATTATCAACTCATCTCCGGTGAGTCAAATACAAATGTTTTATCAACTCTCTGGTGAGTCAAATATAATGCTATGTAAAATATGCAAATTTCTTATCTAGAAACTTCTTTATCAACTTCAATAGCAATGTCATTCTCTTTTTTAGAATTTGTAAAGAAAGAATCAACAGCTTTTTCATTCTCAAGTTTTACATTTTTTTTATCAGCAAGCAAAGCGTCAATATACGAGTCTTTTCTTTGGAGTGCATCAATATTTTCTATGCTGAACACCCAATGATCAACGTCTGGTGGGTCATGACTTATGATGAGTTTGAGTTCTCGTTCGATTATCCTATGGATAAATTTGAATAAGACACAATGATGGATAATTTAATTGAAAATTATGTATAGCTAATTACCTGCAAAAATCGCCCAATTTTAAATCATTTGGGTCATAACCAAAAGGATTTTCGATCTCTGCAGCAATTCTTTCAATACCAAGTAAAATAAAAGTTGCAAAGAATACAATAACAATAGTCGACCAGCCAACGACACCAACCAATTGGAAAGGTAAGGAGACACAATAAACCCATACCGTTTGAGTTAAATGAATGGAATATGCCAAAGGAATCGGCGATCTCAAAATTCTTTCAAAAGATGACAAACATTCTATCAATGAATTAACACACAATAACAAATTATTGGATAATGGGACATCAATCCTTCCTTTCCGAGCTTGTGTTGTAATATAATCAGCAATATATAAAGAAATCTCTAAAGGAAGATTGTGATTAGTACGTGTTCCCTCAAGCTTTTCTTCACGTTGATGCGGCTTTTTTTTACTACTAAATAGACTTAACGGCCAGCACCCCCGATTATTATTGTCCTGAGCTTCATCTTTTTCATCCCCATCTTGTTCTTTCAGATCTTTAAATCCAGGTAATTTTGATTGTATGTCCGAAATAAAAGGTCTAACATCATGGCATTTGTTTCCCTCCTCTTCACGTAGGTAATGTTTTACAGCAAATGCGAATCCTATGAGAAGCCTTATAGCGCTTTTCTTTTCTATCTTGATTTCTTCTTCTTCTGCTTCCCTCAAGATTTTTTCTATCAAGATTTTTTCTACTTCTTCTTCTTTCTTGGTTTCTTTTTGGTTCTTCGCTCGTGGCACGTGGCATGTACTATGACTTAGAAGTTGTGGTATCACGTGACCGGTGCTCCCGTGAGTCACTCTAGTCAATTTTAGCTAGTCTTTCAATAAAAAAAAATTTATTTTAGGCTTAGGTTTTTTCAATTATTTTAGCGGGCAAATTTGCCCGCTAAACCCAGACGGTTTAAGGGATAGGATATATTTCGCTGTCCCGCACTGTACCATAATACACTTGGGCTTTTAAATTTAGAAAAAAATATTGCACAATGTGATGCATTTATATATCGTAACTAATTTTAATTGGTTAATTAGAACGCCTCTAAGGCGCATGGAAGATCATGGGTAAAAAAACAAAAAAAAAAAAAGGTTAATTTCAAAAGATTAGTTTATATCGTTATATATATGTGAAATTTGGCGCTTTTAAAAAAAATTGAATATCGATATCTTTAGCTGTCCCGTACTGTATAAGATCGAAACTATCAATCAAGTTTTTAAAAAATTAATAGAGTTAATCAAATTTGTCATACCAATAAATGTTACACAAATTGATCAGTTTTAATACTTTGCATTAGAAGCTTCTCAATTGGAAATTCTTCCAAAACTTTACGTATAATTGCTACCTTAGTTACTAATAATGAACAATATATATGATGTCAAAGTTAGGTTTAAATTGTTTGAACCAGTTTGAAAATAACTTACCAGAACTAGCTCGGTTTATATGAACGGGGTTAATATCCCAATCGCTACCAGTTAAAAATAAATTTAACAGTTGTTTAAAAAAAGAGATGTTGTCCTACAATGGGCTAAAGCAT